GCAAGCGCCGAGGTCTTCCTAGTTTAGGTGATGGTGTAGCCAACGCTAAAAGCTAATGACGTTAATTTAGCAGCGATAAACGTGCAACATTACGGTATTAGACATCTTTCTGTATGTCTGCTGTCATCAGCTAAACCTACCAAACATTCTGAATGTACCATGACCTTAAATATTTGGGGTGTGTGTGTGTTAGTATTGTCTGTGTCTAGCCTGGATTTCGCTCTGTCATATATTGTGCGAAAGAGCATAATCAAGAAGGTTACTGATTTGAAAGGTAGCTTTATTTTTATTGCCTAAATGATTTCAATCAATTATTTATTACTGCAGTATCAACGTAAACATTCAGTCTCCATCTGGTATCCTGCCCCTGCTAACCTTACGGACTCGCTTAGAGTCCCCCAAAACAGGACCGCGGGTTTTATTTTCCAAAATAAGAACGTCGCTGCTACATCAAATTCATGGAACGTTACTTGCTACCAGCATCACACGTCGCCGCAGAATATTGTTCTTTTTAACAGAAGCTATACTCACCTCCATTGCTTACATCACTATGCCGACTTCGCTCTTTTTGGCTTAAGTGTTATTAACCACGTGCTTTCTATTTTCTACTGTTGCATAGTTGGTTTATACTTTAGATGTGCCACGTAAATATATGCACAAATTTGAGACCCCTTATTGTTCTTAATTTCAATTTATGTCGCTGATAATCTGTTGCATACAGCGTCACTTCATCTCTTTACATCTACAAGAACCCTTGATGCAGCAGGACTATAAATTTGCGTAAACGTTTATTGCTATACGTATATGTTAGTGCCTCCAAATGTGGGTCAATTGTTGCCATACTAAATCTACTTTAATTGTTCAATTGCCTTTATTCTACTCGCTTAGCGTCGGTAAATGAAACAAAAAATCTTTATCATTCCTTGCTATGCGCTATCAATTACCTGCGAAATTAACTTAAGGCCAAGCGGTTTTGTTAGCCAGCTACGGTTGATTACCGCCATTGTAGATAAAACTTTTTATTTTTTCTATGAAAATTTTATGATTGCATTCTTCAAATTTCCGCCATTGCGCGAGTACCCGACACTGGAAAGACACCGCCCACGTTTCCATCAATTTAACAATATAAAAAAGAGAAGTGGATTATATAGATCTCAATAAACTACAGCTTTCTAAAAAGAAACTAACAAAGAATGCGACAGTCCTAAAATCCAAACAAAAACCAAAAGGTCAAGAATGACAATATACCAGTACTTTATACTAATTTTTGTCGATGTTTTTCCAAACATTACGAGAGAGCTTTCATGTCTATTTTAAAGCTTCCGAATCTCCCAGCACAATTCCAAATGATTAAAAAGTTCGTCCGGAAGAACGAGGCGGCCACAACATTGGCAAGACACCAAGTGGTACTGACATTCTGCGAAATGTTTCTCCAGGTGCGACAAGGCGTTTTCAGCTTCACCAGAATCGGTGGGAGGCTCCGAGACGTACTGACAACCCCGAGAAGCGTTGGGACAGCGGATCCTGTTGTGGGTCACCGACAGCGCCGCCCAGGGAACGCTGAGCGGCAGTCTGTCTCGGAGCACCTCGCTGTCATCCAGCGGGCACCTAGTGGAGTCGTCGCTCAAAATGCGCCGGTAGCAGCGCAGACAGTAGAAGTGGCCGCATCCTGGATTGACCGGTGTCTTGGAGACCAGGCCGCAGAGACCGCAGACGATGTCACTGTGCAGGGGGCGCGAAAACTGAAGGGGCCTCCAGTCCAAGAGGGTCGAAAAACCAAAGAGCACCCTGGTTTCCTCCGAGACCTGGTGTATCGCCGCCACTTTGGGCATAACCTGCGCCCACAAACGAGCGAAGGGAACATGGTCATCGCCACCTCAAAAGGATGCCGAAAGGTGTGTGCGAAAAGGACGAGGGGGGGGGGGGTGCATTTATGTTTTAAGATTTTAAAGCACCCCTTCCCTTTTAGCCGCAGGCACGCAAGACTCTACAAGTGAATGAGTATTGTATCTCAGAAACACGTGACTGGCTTGCCCTCGAAATAGTGCTGGCGTCACGGGCTCGCCCATGCACTCCAGATGGGGACAGACCGTTATCAATTGTATCTGGGCGTCTGGGTCACAGTTACCCGAGGGAAATGAGGCGATAATTTGCAAGGTCATGAACTGCAGGCACTAGAGAACCTAATGAAAAGTGAACAAATGAAAGCGTAAAGCGGCAAAGCGCTGTCAACATAAAAAAGAAGCCACTTATTTATTTCCTCAACCCAATCGGATAACTGTCGGGCTTCCTTTTTCAGGAACCATTTGCCTCCTTTCATTCGCGTAACGGTGACACTGACAGATGTCATAATGACACTTTGTTTGCGTCCTCCCCGTCTTTTCTAAAGAGACGAGCCCGTAATATCACTACTACTTCGAGCATAAACTACCAACTATGCGCTCCAGAAAGAAAAAAACAATGCCTACAAAGGAGCTCTAAAATCCGCGTGCCCTCGGAAGTTTGGATCACAAAAGTGTCCTAGTCAATCTTCGCCGCACATACTTAGCACAGTGCCCTCCTCAATAAACGAACTTCCCGCATTCGTGATTTCGCACTCTGCCCGCAAAAGATACACTCAGATTTAACATCCACCGGCTTGAGACGCACAGTTTTGCATCATCAGATAGCCGTAAAAACAAAAACAAAAACCAATTCCTATCCCAACTGTATTTTTTTTTTTTTTTAGCGCAATAGGCGATATGCGTTAATTTGAACAGCTTTCTGTCTCTGAGTTCGGCGAAGTCTGACGAGAAGTTTACGTAATTCCTTCTTCGGGAACCACGCGCAATACAAATTGCTGTTCACTTGAACCTCCGGTAGGAGCATAGAAACAGTGACATGCAGCTCACCTCTGAGTTCATTTCAAGGACGCAAAGCTTCGCCTTCTGTTGAATACACGACCTTCAACAACCTCAGCGATTTGGATTGGATTGGATTACGGCAACTGAACCCTTTGTATCCGGCAATCAATGTCTACAAAGAAATAAAAATTGACGACGAACCAGTGTTACCAACTCGGGAACTAAAAAAAACAGCAATTGACCCCTCAATTATGACGTCACCGATCCAAACAAACCGTTGTTAGAAAAGTCGTAAGGGACGAATACATAGGACTGCATTTCGCTTCGTAAGAACGATTAGTCAGAAATTGGACATGAAATTTAAGTGTCTTGAAATAATAGATCAAGAAAGCCTAGATTTCACACTTACCACGACAGAAGTTTGCCGAGATGCGGCTGTTTCTGAAATATTTACTACGGCAACTTCCGGCCCTCCCGTCTCGAGATAGCCTCTTGTGAACGACGAATGCATGACGAACGCACACGGAATGAATGAAGTCTGCTGTTCGCATCAGTTTCAATCGTTTGCGCAATGACCTGATTTTAAGGTTGCGTTTATTTTAAACATGGCAGGTATAGGAAAACTAACCAGGTTTACAAAAAGAAATTGCGTTCGTGTGCGATAGAAGACGTTGTTTGACGAAAATCGTCACATGTATGAAGATCTGCTAAAAAAAACAGCGAAAAAAACATCTGTTTGGGCGTAATATCAAAGCAGCGTTAGGCCCTCTTTTTCATTTTTCTTCTAACGTGCACTTTAATGAAAGTGCAATTAATTCGATTTTAACATGAGCAGTTCAAAACACCAAACTTGCTTTCTTTTTTTTTCAAAACATATTTTATTAAAACGTGTTAAAAGTAATTCTTTCGCACCGGGTTTTCAGTTGTTTTTAGTGTTTTTTCGAGATTCCTATACCAGTCTTTTGTTACCAACCATGGGCGCAGGGTAGGGGCGGCAACTTCATTCGGAAGTTCGACTCAGACTCAGCTCTGTCGGTACGAGTGTGGGTTTTTCCGGCGTCGTCGAACGTTCAAGAGGTCCAGGGAACTATATACGCGAGCTGAGTACTGTTCTTTTTACCAAGGTAAGCTGGGTGTCAACGTCTGGTGGTTTACATAATATACATAAGGTTTCATGCTTTCATGGTTCTCTTCTTTAAATTTAAAAGTGTGCACATCTGTTTTGTTTTTATCGCTGTTTGTTTGTATTTGGGAGGGATTACTGATTCAGCGTCAGAAGTCGTCAAATATTGGTGTCGAACAAAAATTTTAGCGCTTGTTAGGCTTATGTTAAAGAAAAAGGAGACGGGCGTAGGATTCCCCGACCTCCGAAACACATTTCCGTGTCTCGAATATTTTTATATCATTTTCCTGTCGATAAGTGAACGAAAAGGAGTGCGGTTTATTTCCGTAAAGTATTTTTTTCTTTTTTTTTATATATATAAGGACAGTTCCAATTTAAGGTTTTTCCATAGAGTTATTACAATAAACGCTAGAAGCTACGCTGGCGCTAGAAGCTACGGGACTTCGGTTGTAAATTGAAGCATACAGCATGCAATCTACATTTCTAGCCTCCCTGTGTATTCCGATAGAAAACGCGCGTGAATTGTTTCTTCGCCGAAAAATAACATGAATAACTTTTGTCATTTCGGTTGTACCGGACAGTATGCACCTTTATCGGTATTGTGAAAGTGTAATTGCTTTAATTACAGCATTTTTCTCCACCACTGAACCATGTTATACTTCGCTCTATTTCAGGTCCATACCTCTGTTTCAAGAAACGTATGTGAAAACGAGCGACGATTCTAAGCAAAATAACGATCGAAAGGAATGTTGAGTGTGTTCAAGGTTTTCTGGCATTTCGGTGGTGCATATATATTGCTAATATGCCCGTCCTGTCATTGGATGAAAATGACGCCGTCGTGCACCTTTATGATCGGTTAAAGAAACATTCTGTTGTGTATTTAATCTTTACATAATATATACATTACAGCATACAGCGGGCACAACCGACCGGGTTGGGGCCAGAGCAGTCGAACGTCTCGTGCATGCGCGCGTGCACCAGTTCACCGGCATCCCTGGATATCCTCGGTTGCCAACACACAACATCCCTCCCCCCTAGGTCACATAGTCCTTTAGGTAGTCGGGACGTCGCCGTTGTCGCTGGGGACGATTTGACGGTTCTTGCGCAGGCGCTGAAGTTGGCAACACTGTTTGGTGCCTCGGTTCATGGGGTGAAGCAGGTGAACGTTGTGGGGAAGCTGGAGGTGTTGCCACTGGGGTTGACTCCTCAGGGAAGTCCGCTTGACTCATAGATGGTGGGCACTCTTCCACCGATTCATTCCTAAGCGATGGCTCGCTTGGTAAGGAGAGCTGCTGAGGTGACAGCTCTGTCGTAGGCTCCTCCTCGTCCAGGTATGTGCTCCACTCCCGTCTCCGGATTTGGTCCACGTGCCGCTTCCAGAAACGACCGTCGATGGTGCGAACCTTGTAAGACACCGGACCGGTGATCTCAGTGATGATACCGGGTAGCCACTTGGGGCCTGCTAAATAATTGCGGATGAAGACTGGTTCTCGCGGCTCGAATTCGCGTACACCTTGTCTTCCCCGCAGCGCTTGTTCCTCTTGCTTGTCCACCATCTCTGCTTGTAGGTCTGGGTGAAGCCGGTCCAGTGCAGTACGGATTCTCCGACCCATCAACAATTCCGCCGGACTCTTTCCGGTCGTTGAGTGCGGGAGAATATGCTGACTCAAAAGAAATCGGGCCAACTTGGTGGCCATGTCGCCTCCTTCCATGCGCCTGAGGACTTGTTTAGTTTCTTGGACCATGCGCTCCACTTGGCCATTTGACGATGGATGATATGGCGCCACCTTAACTTGCCGGATCTGGTTTCTCTGCAAAAATTCTTCAAATTCTTGTGAGACGAACGCTGTCCCATTGTCCGAGACTATAGTGTCGGGAACACCGTGTGTTGCGAACAGCACTCGCAGCCTTTGACACACTGCTGCTGACGACATGGATGCTATCTGGATGACTTCCAGCCATTTCGAATGCGCATCCACCACCAGAAGAAAAACCTTTCCTTGGAAGGGTCCTGCAAAATCGATGTGGATTCGGGACCATGGGTTTCTGGCAAATTCCCACGGATGCAGTCTTGCACGTGCAGGTTGCGGCCTTGTCTCCTGGCAGGGCAGGCAGGTTCGGACCTTCCTTTCGATATCTTGGTCGATACCCGGCCACCAAACTGTGCTTCTGGCAAGCGCCTTCATGCGGACGATCCCGGGATGCGTGGTATGCAGCAGCTCCAAAACCTGGTCTCTCGCTTGCTCTGGAATAATGACTCTACATCCCCACAGCAGGCATCCCCGATACTCCGACAACTCGTGCTGCCGTCGAACAAATGGCTTGAACTCGTCCGGCAGCCTGCCTTGAGGCCATTCAACCCCCGTCCAATGTCGAACTCTGGACAAGGTTGGGTCGTTCCGGGTGCATCGGGCGATCTTCTGGGCATCCCACGGAATCTCCGGCGCAGTCTCCAGCATCCGGACTTCAAAAAGTTTCTCGTCAGTTGAGCTGTCTTCCACAGTTAGAGGCAGTCGACTCAGTGCATCCGCGTTCCTGAGCTGATGAGCAGGCCTGTACTCCAGCTCGTAGTCGTAAGCCGACAACATTAACGACCATCGCAACATCCTCGGCGACAGCACTTGAGGCATCGGTTTTGCGTGATGCAAGAGTCCCAGTAGAGGTTTGTGATCGGTCACGATCCGAAAATGCCGACCGTAGATGAACTTGTGGAACTTTCGTATTCCAAAACCTATCGCCAGAGCTTCCCGGTCTGTTTGTGCGTAGTTCCTTTCGGCAGCTGTCATAGTTCGAGAGCCATAGGCTACCGGTACCTCCCGGCCTTCGCTATCAACGTGGCTGAGTACCACCCCAAGTCCGTACGGAGAGGCATCACATGCCATGACTAGTGGCTGGTGGACACTGTAATGGGCAAAGAAGAACGCAAAAAATAAAGCACGTGAGCTACGAAAGGTGTCTTTTTATTATTTTCTATGTCGGGCAGTTTTTATCAGGCACCTGGTTTCTGGCTTCGCCTATTTACAAAGATTTGGAGCGTGGGGGTGATGATTTGAACCCAGAACAAGCATCTTCGCACATATTCATGAGCAGAAAGAGTTACTTATCCAGTGTTGCTGCGTAGTTCTTGCCGTCTCTCTTGCTTTTCCACATGTCCTTCGTTCGTTCGGCACGTATATCCCCGATGCCGGAAAGCGTCGACGCCGTGTTCGCGCTAACAGTGTCCGACAGTGCACATAAATACATATACGAAAAAAGAAGCGGGTTTAACACCGTTTTTCATACCACGAATTTCAAATAAAAATGCTGTAACCGACCAATTATCTCATCTGCGTGACTGAGAAATGTTACAATGTGCCTAGTACGTACAAATTATTCGTGATATTAATTGCTCTTATAATCGAGCGCAGAGAGAAAATCCGCTCGCTTTTTCCTATAGAAATGCAATACCGGAAGTCAATTTCTGATTGCTTGCTGTCTGCTTCAAAAGGCAACAGCACACTAGCGCCAGCTGAGCCTGTAGTGTTTATTGTAATAACTCTATGGGTTTTTCGGTGCTCCTGGACTTTCATACAACAAAACTCGAAATTAATTTTCGGAGTTTATCGGTGTACTGAAAAGACGGAACTATGATGGCGCAGTCAGGTAACACGTTAAAAACTCCACGCGAGCAGGCCTATTTCTCCTTCGCTGCTGGTTTCCATTCAAACCAGTGCTGACGTCACGGCCGGCCTCGCCCATGTAAAGCTGCGAGAGGGGGAAGGGGGTTGGGGGGCGGGGGGGGGGGGGGGCGATGGCGATCAACGCAAACTGTTGTTGTCAGTTGTCAGGGTAACGTTTGTCTGAGGGAAACGAGGGAAGGATTCACAAAGTCACCAACGGTGGGCGCTCAAGAAAATTAATCAACAATGAACAAAGGATACCATGACACGGAAAATCGCTACCTCTTAAAAAGAAGAGACTTGTTTCTTTTCTCAACTCTGCTTCACACAGGGCACAACCGCGCTCGTCTTTTGCAAATCATGTCCCTTTTTTTATTTCCCCGACGGTGGTGCATATAGAAGGGATAACTGCACTTTGTGTTGATGGGCTCCCCTCGTCTGCTTCACAAGGACGAGTCCGTGACGCCTGCTCCAGTGCGATCGCAAGCCCCCACCCAAAAACTCCTGGGGCAAGGGGGCGGGGAGGGGGGGGGGGGGGGACGCTCGCTCGCGTGGTGTTATTCACTTCCGCCACTGTACACTACTAATCACACTCGTGCGCTCGACTGGTGGCATTCGCGGCAACGATTCTAGTCACGCGAGGAACCATGGAAAAACACGCTCAGGGGCGTCTTGCCCACTCTAACGGGGGCGCTGAACGCGGGATGTTGCTATCACCCACTTCATAAACATAATAAAACCCTATCAATAGAAAATAAAACAAAAAAAGAACTTGGCGACGCCTAAGCTTCGCTTTTAAAGGGGCGCTGCAGCAATACTCAATTGGTATGTTTTTCACTTCACACGAGCTCAATGGCAGTAGTGGGACTCAAAGATACTTGCACGCAACACCACTGGTCAAGAAACTCCTTTGTTGCGGTGTAATTTCAAGGACAAAAGGAAGCGTTTTTATTCAGTCTCTCCTTCGCGAAACTTAATGACGTAAGTGCGCGGTCGCAGTGACGATATTTGAATGCGGGTCATAGATTGAACCAACGCCTTCATTGAACCCGGGCACTGCGTGGGCACTCGATTTGGGCTCGTTATAATCGATAGCTCGAGAAGCATTCAGGTAGTGGCCCATGTCCATTCGCTGGAATCACGACAATAGCCGAACCATGACAATGCCTGGGACTCAGTGCGTGTCCTGTGCCTTGCCAACCCCAGCGCGTGGCTATGATCAGCATTGCCCAGGCATATAATCGCCTCTCCATCACATGGCCGCTTGTCGTGGCTGCGAGTTGAGAGGTGAACGCTGCTCGGTTTTCTTTAATTCTTTCTGCGACTTCGACTGTGTGTGGTGAAAAACGAACGAGTGTTTCACAGGTCATTAACGTCAGGGATCCGTTCTAAGCGGTATTTGCGCAAAGTAGAAAAATCGTGACATCGCCGCTTTAAGAGTGGAAAGCGAAAACACTTTCGCTTTCCACTCTTCAATTGTGGGACTGGGGTGCCGCATCCGAAGTTCGAAAAAACGCTTTTTGTTAAACCAATCATAAAGCCATGCAAATTTCGTCCCAACTTTTCCAACTAGCACCCACCTCCCCCATGTTATTAGGGAGTTTTAGTATAGACGTATACCAAATTTTCGAGCACGTTAGGGCTAAATTGCGCGCTTTCTTTGGCGCTCATACGCATAGAGTTTTGGAAATTGGGTTGTGTGTGTGTTTATACAGCCTAGAACTTGGTCTGCCTCACAGGGGCTACGAGTCTCCCAGCTGTAGATGAGAAATTTAGCCAGTGCGGTACAGCCGCTAGCCTGGGGTCTTTAACGTGCATCACGCAGTAGTGATACACGACCGCACACCGGTACGATGCTCATCCAGATCGAAACGGGCAGGGGTGGGGCTCGAACCCAGGATCCCTGGGTTCTGCAGCGCGAGCTTTCGCTCCACGTGCTCTGAGCTGGTGTGCGCTAGACCACTCGGCCACCGATCCCCCCTAGAGTTTTGGAACAGCGTTTCTTCACCGCGACGCAAAACGCAAGCATCTCGCTCTTGCAACGTCACTAAGCCACAGTAGCCGGGCCGGCATAAATCACAGAAATAAGAGGTCACGTTTCCCGTGATTGATAAGAGGACAATACTTTGCTGGATTCCGCTGTGTAATAGCACGTTACACTTGAAGAAAAAAAAAACGATTTCCCCGAAGCGCGACTTTACAGTACTGCGTGACAGTGAATCTAAACTCGTGTGAACTCAAATGACTAAGCAATAAGTTTTTGTAAATATTTACATTCTGGTGTAGCCCGCTCACAAACATATTTGCGTATCATTTTTCCGGTGACAAGTTACACACTGTTGTGGGAATACTTACGCCCTCTGAAAGAAAAATAAACCCCTGATACTGCAAGTTCATTCAAAATTAATTCAGTGTCTTTTTTTTTTCATCTCACTCTTGACTACTTTTCTAATTTGCATTCTTAAACTGCTATCAGTTTTGTACGGATTTAATTATTGATTTTGCTCCTATTTTTTAAGTACCATTTTCACGTTGATCCGCCCAGTTATAATATGCCATTTCGAGCGAAATTTAAATTGAAAAAAGAAATATAAAACTCTCCCAGTAGGGCCGTTTTTTCGTATTTTTTCCAACCGGTGACGTCACCACTTCCCCTCCCCCCCCCCCCCCCCAGCCCCCTACCCTCTCCTCTCTTTTTGAACGGGGTCTTTTCATCGAACCTGGCTTTTGCCGGACCCTTCGCAAATGCACTGAACCCGTTGACCCACTTTTCAGGGTGACGCCCACAACCTGCGATCACCCAACGCAAGAGAGTTCTTTGTTCGCGGCTTGTATCAAGGTCAAAGCTACAACGAATCTCCTGAAGCATCAAGCTTCCGCACTCTAGTGCACGCATCAGTCGCGCCTAATTGTCTTACGGAACAGAGGAGACTGCTAGTTCCACCAAGTCAATGTGCACTCCGTTTTCTACACCATCACCTTTGACACGTGCCAGGACCTCAGTCGTCGTTTCAAGCTAAGAATCGCAGTTTTCAAGACACGCATTCGTACCTACTGCGATTTCAGTTCGCGATCGTTTTGACTTTCTTCAACCGCCAGGTAATTCTCAAGGTGAGCCGCCAGCGGGAAGACAGCTCGCCGCACGCCAGCGGGCGTTATCACCGGACCATCTCTCCAGACAAACAGATGCAGTCACAACCAGGTACCACGCGACGTTTTTGGCGCAAGCAGCCGTATCCACGACGCAGGGTCCGTTCGTCGCGGGTGCAAGCTCCCCTCGACCAGATACTCGATCTTTATTTGTCAAGGAGGACCTGCCGCTGGCCTCCCATGCCCTTGGCGTCCGCGAACTTCATCGGAATCGGCTCCGTTCCGCCATCTATGCATGGGCCCGTTGAACGTTCTTTGACCATATCGGTCATCCTAGACGTGGCTCACTACACCGGATGCCCAGAGTGTCGGCGTTCTTTTTCCGACCAGCGTTCCCTCACTGGACATCGCATCCTTTTTCACGAGTTCTCGCAGTTCGATGCCGTGAGGGTGGCGGTTCAAGAGTTCTTTGTGTCCTTCAATCCTCTGTTTG